TATCAACAATCTAAGATATGCAGATGACACCATAGTACTAGCAGAAAGTCTCAGAGACCTGGAACATCTACTAAGGAAGATCAAAGAAGAAAGTGCCAAGACAGGCTTAATGTTGAACATAAAGAAAACAAAAATAATGTCCACTGATTACCTTCAGAAATTCAACCTAGACAATGAAGAAATGGAAATAGTAAAAGAATTCCTATACCTGGGATCAAACATTAATAGAAATGGGAACTGTAGTCAGGAAATCAGAAGAAGACTAAAGGGCTGAACAGATTGCCACTATAAGACAGTGGCAAGCTGCCTCCTTCCTTGCTGGATCGGGGCCATGCCAACCACATGCTGTGCCCCTGATCTGGTGCTTTGCCACTCTAAAAAGAGCTGGCAAAATGCCACTCCTTTTTAGAGTGGCAAAAAGCCACCCTTGCCACCACAGCAGTGGCTTTTATGTGCTCCTTTGGCACAGCGTATGTGGATGCTGTGCCAAGGCAATGCCCTGATGCCTCTCACCATGTGATGTGATGTGTGGTGTGAGGCCGGCATGAAGACAGAATAGGGGTGGCCAGTGTGGAGTCATCACACCCCCACTCCACCCCCCAGGCCAATCTAAAGTGCTGGTCTGTTCAGCCCCTAAAAATGGAGAGGGTGGCTATGAAATAACTCAAAAATATTATAAAATGCAAAGATATACAACTCAGCACAAAAGTTAGAATCATGTAAGCCATTGTATTCCCTATTACCATGTGTGGATGTGAGATCTGGACAGTTAAGAAAGATGATAGGAAGAAAATAAATGCATTTGTCATGTGGTACTGGAGAAGTGTACTGAGGATCCCATGAACAGCCAAAAGGACAAACAAGTGGGTTCTAGAGTAGATCAAGCTGGAAACCTCCCTGGAAGCCAAGATGACCAAATTGAGGCTGTCGTACTTTGGACAGATCATGAAAAGAGAGGACTCTTTGGAAAAAAAACAATAATGCTGGGTAAGGTGGAGGGAAGTAGGAAGAGAGGAAGGCTACATGCTAGATGGACGGACTCTATTAAAAAGGTCACAGGTATGGCGTTGCAGGTATTAAGCAGAGCAATGGAGGACAGAGGGTCTTGGAAATGTCTCATCTTATAGGGCCACTGTGAGTCAAGATTGATTCGAGGGCAGAGAACAACAACAAACTTTCTCAATGGCCAAACTTAACATTACCAAACCCTGTCAAAGTACAGGCAGGCAATTTTACCTTATGATTTCCATGGAAGAGAAATGAGTTGCCATTTTCTAATAACAACAGCAGCACTGCAGCAATAACAGCATTCAGTCAATATATTATGACAGTTGAGTGAAGAATGGAGACTTATTGCTGATGTATTTGGGGTTGGCTGTTGCATCAAGGAAGAGGAGGAGGAGGAGGAAAGGAGGATACTGTTGTATTTTCTTGGTGATGAAATTCCTTGCTTTTGGGTATTTGATATCTTTCCTTATCACCAAAAATCAGTTTCTTATAAAGTCTGAATTCACATGGATGAATACTTTACCAAAGATATTCCATTTCAGTGCATACATGGATATGCAACCAGTTAACAGAGTGAGTATACAGATATGCAAGGACTGGAATGCAGGCTTTCTATATTTAACTTGTATCCACTGGCATAAAATGGCTTTTCATATAGACTGGTTATGAGCATAATCTCTTTCCAATGAATGAATGAATTTTAGCTAATACATGCTTCTATAGTCTTACATATGTGCAAATGCACACACATTCACAGATGGATATTTAAAAGACAGGGGAAACTGACATATTGCTGTAGATTTTAGATAAAAATATATACAAAGTTTTAGCCATATGCATTATTTTGAGGAGGATTCCAAAACCATTACTGTTTGTCAGATAGCTATCTGTTTGGATATGCTTGCAGAATTTTAAAAAGTGTATTATTTACCCAAAGGCTTCCCACAAATCATCACCATTTGGTTTGGTCTATCACATTTTTCTTACTGATCTTCTAGAGCATTGTTCCAGAAGAAAGATCTTTTGGTGATGTAATTGTCTGTCATATTCATGAAGAATTTGTACCAGTACTCAAGGGACCTAATACTATTCCCTACTCCTTCAGCTCAGTTGGTTCATTGTGTGAAAAATGAGTTTCCT